CAACAGATTCTTTTTAACAAGACTTCTATTAAAAGTTCCAACCACACCAAACGAACCCTAATTCTCTTTTCTTTTGCTTGTGCATAGGTTTCTAGGTTTCAAGGTTTCAAGTTTCCCTTTGTCCATTGAGCTCTCGACTTGCTACCTCAAACCATCAAATAATCCACTTTTACTCATGACAACAAATTTAAGATAATTAGTATTAATAACATGTAAATTTGTTTTACAATTTGGATTGTAATAATCATTGGATGGAGGACAACTCTCAATATCAAGAAACTTGCCTTCTATCCAATGGTTTAAATTATACAGTTTTATACGATTTGGACTACACAACACATTTTTGTGATAGCATTATTGAATTAAACTATCCATTTCATTAATTTCTCTCTAAAGCTCCACATGCTTTTGGAGAGATAAATTTGTGTATGGGGCAAATAATAAGATAATTGAAGAAAATTAGAAAATTATAATAAAAAATGATATAAGTATAATATAATTACAAAATTGTGAGTCATTGTAAATTTACAATTATAACGTGTCATTTTATTATTGATTTTTTTTGTCATGAAGTCACCTGTGATATTATATAAATATTTACTCATTTAATGACATATAGTAATTTTAACTTTATAATTTATGTGTCATTATAATTATAATATTGGTGAATTAAAAAGGTCTGGTGAACATTTATCATGCCAATTTTCACAAACTTGGCATTAATGTAATGCAATGGTTAAATGCTAATTTTGGTCCCTCAACTTTAAGTTTTACACAAGTTTCATCCTTTAACTTTTTTTATGCACTTTTTTGGTCCTTTAACTATGAAAAATACATTTTTTTAATCTTTCTGTCAGTTAATTCATTAAGTGTATCTAAATCTGTACATTTTAGTCTCTCAACTTCTAATATATACACATTTTTTGTCCCTCAACTTAACGTTGAAGGACTAAAAATGTGTATATATAGATAAACTTCATACACTAACTCACGGAAGGACTAACAAATGCATTTTTCATAATCAAGAGACCAAAAAAGTGTATAAAAAAGTTGAGGGATGAAAATTGTGCAAAACCCTAAAATTAAAGGACTAAAAATAGCATTTAACCTAATGTAATTTGTTTTTCCTTGATGGACATTATTAATGTGATGTAATAGAGATTCGAATTTTGGAAAAACGTTCCATAGTTTTAGGATTGTTGTTTCAACAAATAAGAGAGAAATTTTGTCAAATGAATTAAATATCTTAATAGTAATTTTCTTTTAATCAAAATAAAAAATTCTAAATTCAAGTTATATGATATGCAAGTGAGATGGTGAAAGGAAAAGAGATGATGAAAGGAAAAAAGATGATTACCTTTTATTATGTAACCAAAAATTAAAAAAAGAAGAAGAAATAAATGGAAAAAAATTTGGATTGTTTTACACATAAGCATACTATTTATTTTAAGTATTTTTTATTAAGGAATCCACCAAATAACGACGACGCCGACGGCTAGACCTGCTCATGTGGAATTGAGAAAAGTAATGAATTGTATATATAAAGAATGAATTTTTATAAAAAAAAAAAAAAATCAACTTAGTCTACTTATTTTTCCATGTATTTTCATAAAATAGGTGACTGTACTATCCCTAAATTGTCGTCAACAACAACAGAGACTTGAGAACCCACTAAAATGAAATGATTAATTGAAGAGGCATGCATTTCCTTTTCTTTTTTTTTTTCTTGAAAAGAAAAAGATTTAGACAAGGGGCAAAGGAGGGAGAAAGCAGAGTAGAAAAGATTCAATGGGGAAGAGAAAATGTAGAAAGATGAAGGCTACAGGAGAGAGAAAGAAAACTGAAAGATGTATGGGGACAATAGTTAGTAAATATAAAATGGTGTGTCAAAAATTTAGCCAAATAAAATAGACTGTAAATATAAAATACATTTAATTAAAACTGTTGTAGTCAATCAAAGAAAAAAGATATGGCATCAACTTCGTATGGTTTATAATTTTAAAAGAAAAATGAAGTGAAAATTGTTAAAGATTATTTGTGAAATTATTTAAGAGTTTTTTTAATTTATAGTACGAGGGTATAAGTTAAGAGTTTTGCCAAACGAGTTAAGTAGTTTAATGATAATCTCTTTCTACTAAAAATAAGAGGTTATGAATTCGAGTTGCCTAATATGTGGGTGAGATGAAATAAGGAATGAGAGAGTATTAGTTTCCATTGTGCAATCAATATAAAAGAAAAAAAAGTTAAGAGTTTTGGAAAAATGAATATTAATATTTAATTTATCATTCGTCTAATTAAATTTATTCACTTAATAATAGCTCTAAAATTAATGTCAGTTTTTATATTTTTGTATATAAATTTATGATAAAAAGATAACTTTAATCTATTAGGCCATAAATTAGAAAAATTATTATTTAAATGTCTTTAATAAATTTTTATTGCTTATTATTTTAATTGCCTTCATTTTATTTTAATTGTTAAGTCAATCTGATTTTTCTAAATCTTAATTTTAAAATTTAAATTTAAGGTTAAATATTTTAAATTTAAAATTTTTGCTTCAATAAAAAGGCAACTCCTCTTTTAGAATAAAGTATTATTTAGTAGTATTTAGAATTTTTATTTTAAAGTGCAGGACTTAGAGGTTTAGAATTCAATTAAAATTATATGTAATCTGACCATAATGGCTAAAAAAGATGTCGGTGGCTTGGTTTTTTCGATTCTTGCTTCTCTCCCTTGTGGGGATTTTACTACTGTTGATCTTTTCTTTCTCCACGTGCTTAGGTCTCTTTTTCCGTTGGGAGCATTGGTGTTGGTGGTTGGTAGAGGCTATGGGCCATCGTAGATTGGGATGGTAGTTGCATGGGAGCGGCGAGAGAGGCTTCTTGCGGGGCAGACATGGAAGGTTTCTTGCAGCGGCGACGGCGGCTTGGCGATGAGGCTGTTGTGGAGGAATCTTTTTACCCCTCTTGACTCCTTGTTCCAAGTGGGTTTTATGATGGTTGGTGGTCGCTGGGTGATGTTTGGAGTTGGATGACTATGCTAGCTATATAACTACAGTCAAATTATATCAACGACTTGTTAGTCCGAATGAAAGTAACTCGATTCCTTTTTAAATAAAGTTTCAAGTTCAAGTCTTAAAATTTGAGAAATAAGTGCTGTGTGAGCTTTTCCCTAATGAGGTATGACCTGACTCGATTCTGAATTAGTCGGGACTCAATGCGTTTACTGGATACCGAGAGGTTAGTACCAAAACTACAGCCAAATTGCTATATAATTATACATAAAAATTGTAACTAAATCTCCAAAATGGGTAGCTATAACCATCCTAAATACTATAATTACACATAAAGATACATAAGTAATATATTATGCAACTATAGATACCTACCTACATTTTTGATAATATTGCTACAGTTTTAAATAATGTAGCTAATTGCTCTAAAGAACCTATACCTATATTTAAAAATCATAGGTAAATATAAATACTTATGCTTTTCAATTGTAGGTAAAAATCAATGGTTAAAATCAATGACAGCAAGAATAACGTGATGATTTTAATATCATCTTTTAGTATTAATATTTGTTGGTATTAAATATATTATCCAACAATACCATAAGTTGTGATAAAAAGTTGTATATTGTGGCAACCTCATTGTTCCTATAAAGAAAATTTTATAATAATATTTATCATTATCAAATATATTATTTATCAACTCTATAAGTATTGATACAAAAAAGTGCATATTATAATAACTTTGATTGTTTCAAAAACCAATATTTTGCAACAATAATAATCATTGATAAAAGTCATAAAAAACAATAATATTTGTTGTTGTAATATCACTTTTTAACTCCTCTATTAATCATTTTCAAAAATATTATATACCAACAAAGAAGTTGTTACCAAAAATTAGATTCTACAATGACATTCTATGTTATAAAATATACTTTTGTACAACAATATTAGTTGTCATTAAAAATAATTTTAAAACTATAATTAATAGTTACATAAGAAAAGTTTACCAACAAAACATTTTGTGAAAAATTAATTTAGCAATCACTAAATTTGTATCCCTAAACAATTTGAACCACTTATAAAATAGGTACTCTTTTAAAATGAAAGTTATTTTGTAAAATAATGTTAGAAATGAAATTAATACTTGTCATAAAATAAATCTAGCAATGGTATTTTGTATTGCTCAAAAAACTTTTCCAAAATAATATTGATATTTAAAAAAAAAAAAAAAAAAAAAAAAGGCATTACACTAAGGGTTAAGGTTTATGGTATCGGAACTAATTGTTATTATTACACACATTGGTTGGGAGAAAAAAAAACCATATATAGAACAAAACAACATATCTAATCTTTAAGAAGAATAATCATCAGATGTGCTCCTCTGCTGTGGAGAATAGCTTGTCGTAATCATTTATCACCACCACAAGTCAATCTCTTGATGCCCAAACTTGCTGCCATCCGAGAAGAGCCCACTCAAATTCTATGACAGCAAAATTGGATACCAAATCAACAAACACTACAAGCAAAATGTCTTTTACCAACGGAAGTCTATACTGACGGATTGAAATCCGTTTGTATACACAGGTCTATACCAACGGAAAAATATATCCGTCTGTATAGACAAGTCTATACCAATGGAAAAATATATCCGTTAGTATAGGTTAGGTCTATACAAACGAAAAATTATATCTGTTAGTATAGATTAGGTTTATACAAACGAACAATTATTATCCATCTGTATAGAGAATATCTATACCAATGGAAATCATCTTGCGTTTGTATAAATATATTTATACATACAGATTTCTATATACTGTCTGTATAATTTACTATTTGTTAAACTCAATTTTTTCCTCTTTGATTTTAGCCGGCTATCCTTATTTTCACTTCCCTCCACATTTTCCCCAATTTTCCTTCTCTACATTCCGAGTTTCCCTCCCCAGCTAAACCTAAATATTTCCCTTTCCCAAATCTAGTTCGACTCCAACCTTCGCCAAAATTCATTTGCCTTTTCTCTCTTCTTTCTCGTATTGTTTCCCTTTCTCCTTCTCGCTGTTCATGCCATCATCATCCGATCGAAGGGGCCAGCCGACGTTCTCTTTGTGGGACAGTTCTCCAATAGCGCAAATCTAACATTCGATCCAAAAAATTTGGTTAACCTTGACGACTTTTCGACTTGATCTAGCACTGGGGACCTTGGATCCATGTTTCAGACTCCGATCGACCCTTTGGTGGAGCTGACTAATGTGTGCCTAGAGGACAGATTCGATGTTGGCGATTCTGGATCTCCGATGCTCGATTTGGTGGGCCTCTTTCTCCGACGCAACCGCTGAACTTCTCATTCCTTGTGCTTCAAAATCTGGTAGCTTCCTTTCAACCCTAGATCTAGTCTGCTTAATGTAATGCATTTTGAGCATAATCCTAGGGTTATGTAGTGAAACAGTGTGGTTAATATTGGTGAAATTAGGCGAATTGTGCGAGCCGTGAGGCTTACCATGGCGATCCAGCGGAAACTAAAGGCTCCCATTCTCTCTGCTTTCCTCAATTTCGCTCTTCCTCCGAGATCTGAGGCGCATAGTAAGCTGTCTTCTTCTCTTCCAAAGGTAAAGCTTCAGGCTTTCTTTATTGAGCGATTCGTGTTGAGAAAAGTGATTATTTTGAAAGTGTAAGGTTGTAGCAGTTGTTATGATGCGTGTTCAT